TCCTTGTGGGAAAATTCAACCGTCAATCCTTACTCACCTTAACGAAATAGGGTGAATGCGTCCCATTATAGTCTTTTAAGCCTAAGTGTAGATAGAGGTTGATAAGGCCTAAGTGAGTTTGAAACTGCAATCCATCCTGGATAAGAACACTCTTTTCAAAAGCAACGAAATGCGAAATTCAATGGAAGAGTCAGGTCCACTCATATACTTGCGGTAAAACTAAACTTCAAATCGTTCATAATCTTAAAGCAAATAGCACGAAGACATCGCATGTAGTTTATTTAAATGATGTCTTCCAATTTTATTGAGTTGTTTTAATAATTATAATTGAAACTTAATTCATAAATCTTGCAATATTTCATACATGCGAAATAGAAATATGCAACGTCAGGAATCAATAAAATTATCTTCAGTTTTATATAGTCCCGAGCCGTATGATTAAACTCTTTTCTGAATTACTACCTATTAAAGTGATTTAAGAGGAGGCTGGAGTCAATAAACATAACATTTTATTGGGTATTAAAAGTGCGCATAACATTTACAACGACCTCACTCCTGAAAATGCAATAGCAAAATACTATTTTTAATAATTTAAAAATTTTATAACTAAATTGATATAATCTACATATAAAAGTCATATATAAATATAGCAACGTTAAAATACTTTTTTTACGCTTATATTCCGAGTACTTATTTTAAGATTTTTGCATGAAAAGACGTCGCTCCGCTATTCATCGGGTCGAGGAGGCTCACATAGGTATTCATATTCTGTTTACAATTTCAATTTTAGAATCTACAGAGGAACCCGATGATGTTGATGAATATGAAAAGTTTGTTTAACTTTGTTTTGAGTATGCAAGATCTCTCGATGAAAGACTGGCACAGCTGCGCAAGGACCTTAAACTTTTGCAGGATGGAAAGCATCCTGGTATGTCGCTCCTTATACCTCATCGAAAGATTTGCTTAATTCATTAAAAAAAATTAACATTTTTTTGGTCGAACAAAAACAAAGAATTTATATACTTTATGAACAAAGGGTCGAAGATATACATCTTGAATATGAAAAAGAAATGGAGGCTTGCGATCGCGATTGTGAAGTAATTATTACATATTCTTATTTTTTCAAGGTAGAGAAAAAGAAAGTTCAAGAATACTTAATCTCATTGTGCGAAGAACTAAAACGGCGTCTTGAGTATGACAAAAAAAACATAGAGCTTACTCCTACTGGTGGTAACTTCTTTTCACTTCATTTTGCGATAAGGTCTGTTCTTCGTGTTCCTTATCAAATTGCCACATCCCTTTCCATTTTATGTTTCACTAGATGTTTTGGACTTGAAGCCAGCGGTTACTAGGAAACTCAGAAGGCGAGGAGGGGCAAGTGCTGGTGTTGCAGGTTGTGGCAATGAATTTGCCAGTACAACTCTTGTTTCCGGAAGTTCTGTTGGTTCAAGCTTTGGCTACTGGGGAGATCTTCTTTGTGGTCCAGCTTGGGCCCTCTTCAACAATTCTGGACCTAAAAGCCCCCTGTCTACAACGATTAGCTCTACTGCTTTACTTGATGGAGCTTCCAGAGATACATGTGATCATGAGATAAACACGGTCAGAGGCAATGGAGAGAAGCAAGTATCAGGGCAAAATCTCAGTAGCTCGGCTTCTTCTGTTTCCAGATCTCCAGCTAATCGTATTATCGGGAGTAATATATTTGGGAGTCTCGGTATTAGCCTTACGGATGGCGGCCTTCGTTCACATCTTATTGCTTCACTCAGTGCGAGCGGTGCGTGTGCAACAACCTTTGCATCTGGCCTCTTAAATAGTCCATCATTTGGAACTCTTCACAGTTCTGTATCGACCATCGGTCCTGGATTGCCCAACAGTCATTTAGGTTCCACCACTATGACAGGTTCTTCTACTGGACCTCCCTCCAACTCCTGCTCGTCAGCTTCATCTATCTTGTCTAGTACTGCTGTCGCAGCTGGCGCTAACTTTGTTGGTGTAGGGTTAGCTGGGGGTGTCGGGTCGTTCTTTGCAGGTGCTTTCGGTGGGGGTAAACGCAGAAAGCAGCAGAACCAAGCACCTATGGCTCAGTTGAATCTCCTTCTCCCAGAATCCGATATATATTCTGATTTAACAGCAATTCATAGGCAAGCATGCTATTAATCGTAAACTTATATCTCTTAAAGCTAGTTATAATAGAAGTGGTTTGACTTCCCTTTTGCAATTTGGTCGTGATCTAAGTGAACGCGCTCGGTCCGAAGTCCCACCCTGTACTAGCATTGTTAATTTTCAGCACCAAATCGTGGACTTGCTACTTTATCAGACATGCCAAATTCATGGTCCGACAAGTGAAATTATCCTGGCTACCGTGGTGGAGGACTCCAAAAAGAGTGTGTCTATCCAGTCTCCGACAACATTATCTAGTTGCGAAAACGAGGCCAAACCACCTCTACGACGAAAATAAATTGCGGCCATATTGGAGGCTACGCTACCTTTTTCTTCATACTTTCATTTGTTTATTATAATTGGATTTTAGTTATCTAGCTGTGCTAATGTTAATCCAATATTTTAATCGCTAATTACTTTGTGTTTATTACTTGTTTTTTTTAAAAATTTAAGCTATAATTATCAGTTTCTGGTAGTCTTTTATGTGAGAATAAAAATCAACGATGGAGATTATTTCTCAGTATCTTATAATTCATTTGCTTTATTACTTAATCAGATAATAGAAATTTCAGTTAACTGTTTATTTGTCATTGTCTTGGATGAAGTTGTCTACCAAGGGTTTTGGGCCTTTAAATCTGTACTGGCCAATATAAGACATAAGTTGTATGGCAGCAAAATTTTACCAGTTATGAACTCTTAATTTATAGAAAGCTTAAAGAAGCGACACGAGCCATCAAAACGACAAACAAATGCGTTGACATCGCAGGATCACAATATGAATAATTAAAATAATGAGCGAATGTTTGGCTACTTATACATCGTCTTCATTCATCTGCACTGTTATAAGGAGAAATATGAAGTTGTCAATCGAATCATCGGTTGCAGCTGATCACTCCTTGCTTAGTGTTTGTTGTCTTGTTAGGGAATGGTATTTCTGATGTTGCGTCATCAAAGGCGTATGAAAAATGAAAGCTGTGCACATCTTAAAGGCGATATTTATTTGAATTCCTTCTGCCCAACTTTAAATACAAAATGAAAAGTAAAATTGGATTTAGTTTCTGTTTAATTTTTAGTAACCTCGGAGCCTAATTTTTACAATCCAGCTTTAGTCCATATTGTTTGTAGGACATGATTTTAATCAAGCGTGCGTGATGCGATCATGTCAAAAACCTTTGTCATCTTAGCAAGATGATTAGGCTAAAATATGAGTGGATTTTTTTTAGGATATCATTTTTTCATATAGTCTCCGCCTTGGTATCGTATATATTATTTAGCTGTCTAGTCTGTTAGACTATTTTGTTTCTTCAATATTTAATTGCGCTCTTAAGGGCTTGTGGCAAAAAGTCCGGTGTCAGTGGCTCTGGACGAAAGTATGCAGGTCAATCCAGCTCTAGTCGAAATTATACAGGTGGAGACTCATCTGCTTTATGTGGCAGCTCTGCGCCTAACAGCAGTGCTGTTGATACTGTCAGTAAAACCAATGGAATTGGTCCAACGTCAAGCTCATCAGGCATATCTGTCTGGATAGATGATGGTCGCCTTTATTATGGACAGAAGTGGCAAGTTATTTTTAATTATTTTTCAAAATTTGTTTAATCATTGTAATAAGAACATATCAATTTTTAGTGCAAAGCTAAAATATTTGAACATTCGGCCACAAACAGTCGTATTTTGAACCTCAGGCTGATGTTG